TGTATTACTAACCTGGACTGAATGATTGACAATCACTAAACCAGCACCTGTAGCTATCATCATCACCTTGCAGCACTTTACAGTGTGATCGACATTGAGTACATTTAGTAGAAGACAAATCTTCTTTGACAATGCAGTAACATTGTTTATTTTGAAGGCACTTGAATGCAAAGATATGGCTTTTATCAACTTTGAGATTGTCACTGCTTCTTTTGATAGCATCTGTAACTAAGTCTCGAATTTGTGGACAAAATTCCTTGCTGGACTCATCTAAATGTATTTCAATATGTGTATAGCAATTGATGATATCAATGGTGTACTCTTCCTTTTCTATGTAAACACAAAGTGACATGGCATCATTATATCTGTAGTATTCGTTGCCTGCTGGATCTGGAGTAAATTCTACACTATCTTTTTTCTCTAAAAGGTGTACAATGGTTAAAGGAAATAATCCTTGAGGGATGGCTAGAGTTTTTGTCCCACTGTTCTTAATCTCCCATGCTATGAGAAGTGGTTGTACTTTTGTTGGGGCAGGATTGAGCTTATCGTAAGATGGCAATGCACATGGAAAAAAATAGTCTCCTTCTTCTCCTACTTCAGCAATGATGTGGAGGTGTCTTAGAAGAGTGATTATGTGAAATGAGTTAAAGTCTTTATTAAAGAATTTTTTACCAATAATTTTAAGAAAATCTTCCTTAAAAAGGCCGAAATCAATAAGATTATTTCTTTCATCTATTGAAGGAGATGGATCAGCGATCATCTGTAATTCAGTGTGGTGAACGTATGTAACAGCTATTAGATGCGAAAGGACATCAAGGATTGGTTTAGGATCAACAAATATCAAATCCTTTAGGATATCAACATCATGATAGTAGAGAATGATAGTGACATTGTGTAAATATTGAAGAGCTTCATTGATATCTGACTCTTTATCAAGTTGGAGAGACTTACCAATCTCAGTTACTTCTCCTTTTGTAAGAAAACTTCGTTTCTTCTTCTCAGCTTCTAACTGTAGTGCTATCTCAAAAGTAAACAGTCGAATTGGCAATTTAATGGTCATGGCCACTCCAAAAGCTGAAATTGTATTGCAAAGCTCTACACTAGCTTTTTCTCTTTCATTAGACCCAGCAGGGAGCAATGTATTAACTGGAAATATAATTGAGCCTTGACGCTTATTATGGGGAATGACCTTTTTATTAGCTTTATATTCTATCAGACTTTCATTCATTTTTTTAAGCTTTTCCTCGGTTACCAACTCTTTACGTGTACCAAGTATGAGGTAATGAGGGTGGTCAGGCATTTCAGACTTAGTGACATAAGGAAACTTGACAAAGTTCAACATAGCTTCCGAGCTAATTGTTGATCGAATTATACCACAATTGGAATACCTCAAATTCATATTAATAGGAGATGCATGCTGACTAATACGATATTGAAACATGCACTTCTCATCAAGATCTTTGGTAAGATCAATGGTGATGATATTCAGTGCAGCTGCTCTTGTAAAAAGAGGTAACAACTCTCGATATGCTGGTTGACCACCAGAATCAATAAAATAAACCCAATTTGTGCTAAACTTTTTAGACTTTCCTTCTTTAAAAGCTTGTAACATTTTTTTAACTAATTCCATTTTGGTTGGTTTATTCTTAGCTGGATTCTGTTTGGTTGATTTCATCTCTGTTGTTTTATTCTCTGCTTGTTTATTTTTGATTGGTTTACTTTCACTTCGTACATTCTCCATTGGATTGATTGGTTCAATCTTGATTGTTTCATTCTCAGGTGATTGATTCTCGGTTAGTTCAGTTTTAGGTGGTTCTTCCAGTGATGGTTCATCTGAATGAGCAGGTACATCATCTTCAGGCTTTGGTGCTTTGTCCACTTCTGCAGATGCTAGCTGATTAAGTAAATCTTCAATATCAACCCTCTCCCATTTCTTATTTTTATCATCAATTGATATTCTTGTTGCTTTAACAGCGCGACAAGCTATTGGTGTACTATTGGTAAGTTTCTCAGGTGGTGGCTCATTAAGTAGGAGGTGTAATGAACATGTTTTACCAGCTCCAGGTGCACCATGCATATTGATACGAGTGATTTTTAGCTCAACTTCACCTTCTTCCAGCCATTTTTCAATTTTTCCTAAAATTAACAATGATAATGTAATGACACATTGTTTTGATTTAATGCTATAAGTCAAAACTATAAGCTTGTGTTCACCCAAACACTCATTTTTCCTTATACCATATAGCCAGAAACTTTTGAGTTTCACTGCCAGTTTTGCAGTTTTGTTGAGATTTTGAAATTAAAATCTGGTACAAAATGGCAGAATGCTTTAATTTGCAAAAATTATATCCAAGAAAACGATGTTTTTTGGTGGTTTAATACTATATAGTGGGTAATTTTTGTGGTGTTTTATTTTCATGATTTTGGGACACACCACAAAATTATTGAGGTGTTATGCAGGCTGTGTAAACTATCAACCATGAAAATTAAAACCACAAATTCTCCCACTTGAAGCAAATCACAAAATATTAGGCCCACACTGCTACACGCCCAAATGTTACCATGCTTGATCCAGGACTGCTGCCCAAAATTACTGGATCAGGCCTGATATCAGTACTGGTACAGCCCAGATGGCTATCACAACTGAATCAGGAGTGTTGATCTGGCCTGATCCAGTATAGATGCTTATCATGCATGTACCATGGCTGATTCCATGATTGTATCAGGACTGATTCAGGCTGACATCAGGCCTGGTCTGTGCGCCAACTCTTAATGGTGTATATGGTATTAAATTGCAACAAAATTATAACCAATATATTTTTCTCCCACTGCTGCAGTTAGTCTGAACAGTAGCTAAGCCTCTGCTTTAAAAGTATACATATACAGTTGGGTAGGGCTACATGTGGTATATTAGTCTCACCATAGATATTAGTACATTTATTCTAATATCTATGGTCTCACGTGGCCAGATTCTCCACCCCTTTTTGACTTTTGGACAAAAGTCAAAAAGGAGGATGGGTCTGGCTATGTGAGGCTAGTGGTGTATGTACAAGTATAAGTACTAAAGGCAGATTTATATGTACAATATTACACAAGGGCTAGGCCAGCATATACTTAGAATATTATTGTACCCTAAAAGGTGATTGATTATCTGAGAGCTCAAGTGTTCATTCTGATATGTTCACCATGATTGGTAAGAGAGTTATTACTGACTTAAGATGAATTTACAATATTTTAATTGCCATGCAGCATAACATCAATTTTTAAAAGTGTGAATATTTTTACCTTTATATATATATATGCATGCATAGATGCTACAGATTAACTCTATCATCAATGTAACATCAAGACTAGCGTATCATTGTTAAGTCCACCTTAAAACTCTTTTGAAATCAAAAATATGACACCTTATGGCACAAATAATATCATTGGAACAATCTTGCTCAGGTGAAAGTAAGTTGTAGTACATGTAAGCATGTGTGGTTAATAATTTTATCACTATCATGTACTTTCAATGAGTGGATTCTGAATTTCTTGTATTCTATCAGTAGCTGAAGTGTCTTCAGTAGGAATACTAGTATTGCTGCTGTAATTAGGCTGTACCTTTGAAGCTGAAGGGGCACTGGGTACTGTAGTAAAAGTTGAATAATAAAATGTATTTGAAATGTGTACAATAATAATCAAACATAAGTGCACCATTAGGCCACTCCAATTAGATCCCTGGGCTGATGCAGGTGGGCAGCTTCATTGATATTCATGAACATTTTTAATTACCATATTTGCTCGAATAAACGCCCTGCTTAAATAAATGCCCATGCCAAATATTTTCTAACTATAGATATGCATATTTTAGCCAATATATGAGCCACAGGATTTAGATTGTGCCAGATGGCCTAACTGTTGGAGTACAGTTTACACAGCTTGAAGGTTGCGGGTTCAAATCCTCTGGAGGCTTTTTTTCTTTTTTTTACCTGATTTTTTCCTGTTAAGAAATAAACACCCGGGTGTTTAATAGAGCAAATACGGTATTGCAATATGCATATGTATGATGTGTATGTATGAAGAATTAAATAATTAACTGCCAATGTGGGCATGTACGGGCGGGAAAGGAGAAACAATGTAATCAGAGTGTTCTTATATTCATAGTGACAGGTTTATTTATTGCTATCTATGAGCTCAGTGTCAACTACTAAAAGATAAATTTTCCTAATGAATACTGGTATCTACACAAAACATTGAGGATGTACATGTACATGTATATAAATAGTGGACATAGGCTGGCACAGGCACAATGGAAAAATGATAAAAGTCCTTTTCCTGGAAAGCTGAAAGATTGCCGTTCCATCCAATCTTCAAAATGCTTTCTATCTTCCAAAAGTAACACCAAGAATTAAGGTAGCAAGGCAAGATAATTGTTTTCCCATTAAATTCAACTCTTGGTAAAGTAAACTATATACTCACAATGCTGGCCAATTATGTGGTATATGTATAGAAAAAAAAAATTTTTTTTTAAATCATTGCCTACCTCTCCTGAATTTATGGTTAAGTTAATTTATGGTTTCACATAAAACTCATGGATAAAAATATATAAAACCCTTACTTTGTTCCTTTCCCTCAATCCGATCAGCTACATCATTCTCTCCAATCTCCCTCAATGCTTGTATTAATGTGTCATAAGTTGGACCACCTTTACTCATTACATTATCTTCTTGTTCCAACCATGCCTTCAAACACTCGTTTAGACAGCTACGATCATCTCTTTCATACTCTATCTCAATAGTATCAAGTCTAAAAGCATACAGACCCAGATAAAGACCAAGATCATAATAATTGATACCAGAATATCCATGCCTCTCTAGTAAACTAAATACCTCGTCACTATCTAATGAACAAAAGATATTTTGAAGCATCATCTACATGTATGATATTTATTAATTTATATTTACTTGATAAAGTGAGTTGCACTGTGTCTCTCTTAGTAGGTGGACTGGAGGGTGGACTTTCAAATGATACTTCAGCTTGTACTAAATATGTAAATATTACCAAGAGTGGATAAGGAGGAGGGGAGAGTGTCTAACTGCCCTATGCTGCTAGCGATATGTGCGCGTAGAAGTTTCATGGTTATTATTTGTACATTCCCGCATACCTTATTTAGCACAATAAGTGATAACTGCACTGAAGCCATAGTTGGGCATGTACTTAAGTTAACTGTAATATAAAAATGGCTGCTGAACTGAGCAGCAAGAGCCTGGACCAGAGACCTTGGAAGCAGAATTTGACCTCACCTTGTTGTACCAGTCACTTTGTACCACTCTGAAGAGATTTGTAGTTTCCAAGCACACAAACCATGTTTGTTATTGACACATGAAAAGCTCTTGATCAATGATCATCCTCCTTTAGTCTGGTCCCTTGGGACCCACAACATCAAGAGTAAGGATAATAATAGAAGTGAAAGAATATGTGGTACATGTACTTTTGAGACGGGCTGTTAACTGCTGT